CTCCAATTTTTTCTCTAATATTTGCCGTAAAGAAAATATTTGATCAATAGTCGAACGATTCCGTCTAAATCTGCATTGGTAGTCTCCGATAATTTCCTCGGCGTATTCCGTGATTCGACTGGTTAAGATTAAAGTAAATATTTTATAACATACCGGAAGGAGTGAAATTCCTCGATAGTTATTACAATCCGTCCTCGGACCCTGCCCTTAGATATATTTTTCTAAAAATTCTGATGGCGCAACCTGTGTTTACCAAAAAAAAAAAAGTTATTTTACTTGCTTACGAATACCGTATAAGAAAAGTATTGTAATTATAAAAAGTAATCGGTCTAAAATAATTCCATAATAATAGAATAATTCCTTGTGCCGTTTTTAACCGATCAGTCATTGAATGCTTTTTCTGAATAGAATTGAAACTACTTCATTGTAAATTAAGATATTCCGTCACAATAAGTACTGTAGTTATGATTCGGAAAAAATCCCATGGGTGATAAAGATTCAGTGCGCAGTCATTTTAAAAGTGTTTATTAGTGCCGACGTTTCAACCCAAGCATGAGAGCCTGAGCCGTCTCCTAAACTATTTTTTCCCAGCATCTTTACCACCAAAAAATCAATATAGCCAAAAACCTGATTCACTGCTGTCTGACGTTATCTGACTCACAATTTCACGAAAATAACCTGACTTAACTACACAAGATCCTGAAATCAGACCGTCATACTTATGTTGGAATATCGGCAAAAATAAAAACTTTAAAAATGACTGCATCCTTACTATTTATCATCCATGATATGTGGGACAGTCGGCTAACTTCCTTCAATAATATGATATATAATACATCAAATATATATGTGAATACAGGATGCCCCGTAAGTAGGAGTGATAGGAGACCTCAAGAGCTACAATAAACGGATAAAGAATACGCTTATTTCCAGAAAAAAAAGTAGGAAATCCAAGTTTTGTGTTTTTTTAAAGTGAATCACGTTTTTTTTTAATAGGAAGCGATAACTAAAAAAAATATTTAATTTATGTAATTAACTATTGATTCACTGTAAACAAGACAAACTTTACTTTAAATTCAAATAGTTTTAACAGCGACATATGCAGACGACACAGCAATTTTAGCAAGACACAAAAATCCAACATATGCCTCACAGACCCTACAACAATATTTAACAAGATTACATGACTGGTTCAAAATTTGGAAAATCTGACTAAATCAAGACAAATCACAGCACATCACATTTACGCTTCGACATGAAACATGCTCTCCAGTTTTCCTTGACAATGCACAGATTCCACAGACAAACACCGTTCACTACCTTGGTCTGACATTTGAAAGAAAAATGACGTGGAGCCCACATATAATCAAGAAACGAAAAACGCTAAATCAACGGTTAAGAATTCTGAGTTCACTTCTTTCGAAAAATTCAAAACTAAAACTTAGACAGAAATTGAACACATACAATTACTTAATAAAACCTATTTGGACTTAGGCATCACAGATATTTGGAACTGCTAAAAAGACTCACTTAAACAAACTTCAAATCTTTCAAGCAAAAACATTCAGAACAATTACAAAAGCACCTTGGTACGTTAGCAACATAACCTTACATACTGACCTCCATATGCCGACAGTTAACGGACACATACGAACTCATTACAAACGATTCCATGACAACTTACAAGGACATACTAATACACTTATAAATGACATGGCCACTACGAATATGCCAGGTAACGTCTGTAGGAGACTGAAGAGGAGCTGGATGAGGGACCTCCTCGCCTAATGTAGATATCACGCCGAGTGAGGTGCCGCTGGGCACTGATCCTCGTAATGAATTTCATGACATTATTTTTTTCCAACGACCTCACATTCACTGGTTGTCATTACCACTATGACAGGTGTGAATAAAAAAATTAAACCAAAAAAAAAAAAAATTCAAATAGAATTTGTCATTGTTAAAACCATTTAAAGAGGACTTTGAGGGGTTAAACCAAGCTAAGTCCTGTTTTTAAAAAAATTATAAATTATTCGAGATTTATTTTTTCCATCAGCCGACTATACCGCAGATACTCCACTTTCTCGAAAAAACTTTCTCGTTTAATAAGTTTAAGTAAATATTAATGAAGCTGAGATTTATAAGGAAAAAACTTAAGATTCACATTGTGTAAAAAAATACGATATTATTTTATACCCTTCCACCCTAAAAGTACTCTTGTTTTCAGCAAAACTGACCTGATGGTCTGGAATGTATTGTAATAAAAACAATGGCCTTAATACTCTTTTTGCTCAACATAATACTCTCAACATAAAAAAAATTATAAAAACAATGATTTAATAAATATTGTTTATGTAAAATGGTTATGAAACTATGTATGCTAATGTCGAGTTTCGATAGTCATCTTAAGATGACCTCTGACATTATATCCGACGCTCAAAATAATCGGTCAATCATTCTTAGATGGAAGCTAAGGTTTTTTTTTAATTCAATATTAGTATTATAGTCTCTTCAAACGTAAAATGGTCCATCATCTCTTGAATGAATGAGCAACATAAAAAAATCAATACGAAATGATAAATATCTGTCCTAATTGCCAAAATATAGCCGATATTATCTGCAGACATGGCAGAGGTCATTATTGATCGGACAAAGACCTCCTTTATAAGTTATGATATTGATTATTATTTCTAATTTTTTTTAAATAAATGGAAAACAATATTTTAAAATATTGTAGGTATATTAGTAGGTATATTTTAAAATACTATTTAATAACATGTATATGAGACTTGTTTGACATATTGAATTCAATATACTACGAAAGAGTTAAATCCATTGATTAGACCGAATTCTATATCACTTTTTTTTTTAAGCCCCTCCTCCAAAAATTAAATCCTGGATCCGTTAGTTCACATCACCACCACCAGTCTCACACAGATCTCAGACGCAACATGTTTTTAACCTAATATAAACTTGCACAGGCGGATTTACGGGGGGAGGGGGGAGGCTTTCGGGCTGAAGCCCCCCTCAAAATGGTAAAATGTAACCATGTTTTATGGTAAGAAATATTAAAAAATTATGTTTTAAAGTATTATTGCTCGTTTAATTACCTTTTATAGGACTTCAGGAATCACTTAAACACCATTTCATATATATAGTTAGTATCTTTCTGTTTTTTATAAGTAATTATCGTTATATATGTGAAAAAAAAAGCTTTCGGGCTGAAGCTCCCCCCCAAAAAAATTAAATCCTGGATCCGCTAGTGTAAACTTGTAATTATTATTTGAAAAGAACGATCCTAATCTTATATAACATAGGTGAGAAATGTTTTTATCAATAGCGGCAGCATTAAGGTTAGGAAGTGTTATTGCAGGCCTCTATAGTGTTTATATATTACTGTTAATATCTTTATTTGTTAAAGCAAATTACGATATTTTCCGAAGCTATTCGATTTAATTTTATTAATTTTCAAAGTTTCGTAATCTGTATAGTTAAATACATGGTAACAACGAGTACAATAAAATATAATAGACATATCGAGGGGACTGGATGTCGTTTCGAAATAGTACCACAATTTAAGTACCTTGGCTCTATAATCACTGAGAATTATAATATAAGATGAGGAATAAAGGTTGTTATATTGGTCTCTATACAAAAATCTATCGAAATGTGCCTAAAGTTCTCGAACTAAGACTGTACAAGACAGTGTTGTAACCACTTGTTAAATATGGAAGCGAGTCCTGGACATTTACACTGAATGAAGAGAGGCTATTGAACAGGTGGAAACGAAAAATCCTTGTCAAAATCTATGGCTTAACAAAGAAGGAGTTCTTTCGTGGTAGAAGACTAGTGAAGAGCTGAAAAAGCTATACAGAGCAGCAGATATTTTAAAAATAGATAGATACATAGATAGATATTTTATTTGTTTTTGGGGGGTTCCCCATACAAATAGAGCCTAGCTTGGCTATTGTACAATAATATGGTTTTACAAATTTACATACATATCATTTAAATATAAATAAAATTTACAATATTTAACGTTTAGAATGGGTTTCACAAAACATGAATAACAATACAACATAAAACGATTACTGCATAATAATAGTGATATGAACCTGTTACTATGGTAGAAACAATAAAAAATAAAAACATTTATAAATATAAACAAAATATTACTTTTAAGATAGATTAAAAACAAACACTTAATAGAACATGGGCTATGATCAACAATTTTGTGTATGCATTTTGTGTACTCCCATCATATAATAGTAAATTTTATTTAACTTATTTATACAATCGATATTCAATATGGATTCGATGTTGTGGTTATCAGCAGATTCTGAGATGAAGTTTTAAAGGAATTTTTGTCTATAATCATTGTATGCTGGGCAGTGAAGGAGAATGTGATGTAGACTATTGTAGATAAATTGACTGCATGATATACAGATCTCTTAAGACTCAATCGAAAATTTTCTGTTTTTTGGCATATATTCTGTTATGTTCTGGGTTTGCGACTCTTAATTGACTAACACATCTCAATTTCTTTATATTGACATTAAATGTAAGGTACGTTTCGGGATTGGGAGCATTGTAACTGCATATCATTCTGTATAAAGGGTAGTTAGTGGAGTTTAAAGTTCTTTGTATGTCGGCTGAGAAATAATGGTTGTGTGCTTTTTCCAGGATGTCGTATTTGTATAGAAGAAGTCCGTTTGTCAGGTGAACAGAAAGCTCTTCAGCAAAGACATTAAGTTCGGCTATTGCTCTAAATTGAGACACCCGATTGAAGTCTATGTCAGGCTTATCATTGTCTAATGTTTTAAGGCTATTAGAACAACGTTTTGGGAGTCGCTCTTCTGGCATGAACTCGAGCTTGGTGCATAGATTTATCATCTTTTTTATTACTTTCATGTTTAATGGTTCTCTTCCTGTTCCGATATTTTAAAAATAAGTGGATATAATCTCTTGATGCCTCTCTAAAAAGATAATACCTCTCTAAAATGATAATAGAGGAGGATGGGAGAACGAAAAGAGGCAGACCTAGACTCCATAGGCAGGATGACTTTGAGAACGATCTTCGGGGCCTGGATGTTGTAGGATGGAGAAGGGCGGCAAAAGTCAGGTCCGTTCGGAAGAAGATAGTAGAAGAGGCCAAGGTCCTGACCAAAGGGCTATCGGATGATGATGATGATGATATTATAAAGTATTAATCATTTCTTTATTATTATTAATTAATTAATCAATAGATCTAGAATAATGACTTGGATGCCGCATGCAGCTTCAATGTCACAGATTATCCCCCCTTCCTCTCCCACCTTTGTTACCTATGTTCTTTATCACTGGAATAAATTTTTTGGTGAATATGTATATGTTGGAGTTCTGGCAATGGCAAGATTCTCCACTCAAGCAATGGATGTCTGCTTATATCGTCTCTTCACAGTTTCCACTGGTCCTTAATACCAGTAATTCGGTTAAGTGAGAGGCGCTGGGATCTCCTAGAGTTCTGTCTTTCCTTCCACAAGTGCGATGAAAGGCTTAGCACGGGTTTCCCTGAGTGAACGCAATTTTTAAATATTGTATAAAAGTATGTTTGTATTTTAGTTGGGTACCTTGGACTCCACTTGGACAAACGTCTAACTTGGAATCCTCTTACCAGACTTAAACGACAAGAAACCGCTCGACGTTTCCGACCACTCGAGCACTTACTAGACAAACGCTCTAAGCTTCCAGTTAATTACAAAAGACTCATATACATGACTACAATGAGACCTATCTGGTCATAAGGAATTGAGATTTGGGGGTCCACAAAGCCATCGAATTCCTCACGCATCCAATCCCTACAATCCAAAATCCTCCGTAAAATCCTCAATGCTCCTTACTTTGTCAGTAATAAAATCATCCATAAAGACCTTAATGTTCCTTATATTTCCGAATTGGTCGAATCCAGATACCTATCCTTCCATAATAAACTTCAGAACCATCCGAACTCTCCCGTTTCTAACCTTACTTCCTATTTGATCCCTGATAACCCTCCGAGGCGTCTAAAAAGGAGATAACCTCGAGATCTCCTATTGTGAATACATTTTTTTTTTTAGAGTGCTACCAGTGGGTAGTTTCTCAACAAGTGTATTCATGTTTTTATTTTCTGTTATCACATTTACTTAATGTATTCTTTCTTAATACAGTTGTAAATATCATAAATAAAAAAGTATTTTAGTTGTTATTTCTATTGGTTTAGTTTTCATTATTTTGTTTATACAAGGTGTCCTATAAATAGAGGCAAACATTTAAAAGGTTTATAGTAAACATCAAGATATACAAAACGTTCATATAAACAATTTCCAGCCGGAAAGTAGCTAATTTAAGATTCAAATGACAGAAATATGAGTGAAAAACACAATTTCATAACCAACTTATATAAACATATTTGAAAAATCTGTGTTTTTAGGCAATTATGTTTATTACAATACGAATTCTATTGCAATTCAAATGTTAGATATTTTTCCCATGCAAGTACTTAATTGATCCTTTATTTGTAACTTGTTAATGAAGAATTTTTCCAATTGTTATTTATATGGCATTGAGTGTGATGACTTATTTAAATTTTAACCAATTATTTAAATAATTTTTGGTTTCAGTGCCTCTGCTTTCACACCTGTACCTGTCCAAGATATCCTGCTTTCTTTAAGACAAGGAGGAACCACAAGTACTTCGGAGGAGCGATTTTGGGAGGAGGGATCTGCCCGCTGAGGAAGAAACTTCTCCTTGGTCCTATTTCGCACAGGCGCAGGGTCACATACGGTTATCTGTAGTTTAAGAAATATATATATATATATATATATATATATATATATATATATATATATAAAGATCTCAAAAATGTCATAGATTTTAAAGACATTTAAACCAAATTGATAACGTTATTTGTAAATATAGCTATAAGACTTGTCGATAGAAACCTTTAGTTTGTGTAAATATCCTGTATTTATTATTAAGAAATATGTATTTATAAACCAATAAATAAATAACTTTAAACATTTTTTATTTATTTTATAGCCTTTTTCTGTATGAATATTAGTGAAAAACTCAGTTATGATAAAAATTATGAATAGAATGTATAAAAATAACCAACAAAATTATTCGTAACCGATGATGTTTTAATAATATTGATATTTATGATTCCAAAGTATTTCATTAAAATTCAATTTTTATTTATTTTTTTTATTTTCCTTATATTAGATAAGAAAAATATGGTGATCGGGTCAAATTCCGACGGATCTATACGTTTCATAGTCCCCTGAGTCCGAAAAAACCCTGTTTAGAGTGTTGTTGTTTTTTTAAGATAGTTAAATTCCCTACAAAACTATATAAAAATCATTCATTTCGGACAACTATTAACGAAGTTGTAAGATTACGGGTACATATCCTGGTGTCAGAAAGGGATGAATGAGAGAAAAAATATAACTTAGTGAAAGTAAGAAAATCTGGTGGCTGCATCAAACAAGCTTCACTATTACCTCTAGTTTTAACAGAAATTATTGTTTGACAAAATTAGGCTGTGTCAAAAAGTTTTTGATCAGTAATATTAGGGGGTATTGAAATTTGTACACTGATCTACCTTAAGTCGGTTTACATTGCTTTAGTTTGTCAAATAAATCGTACTCAAATCTTTTCTTTGATCAAGTTTCATAAAGATAAATCTAATTCAATTTTTTTTTTTAAATTGAAAAATACATTTTCAGTTAAGTTTCAAAAACATTACCCTCCAGAATAAATAGTCAAAGTTTATTTAGTATATTGATTCCAGACTTCCGATCCATATAAATTAAAATTTCTTAAATAATCAAATTCTTTATCGTTTACTAGAACAAAAGTAAATAGTAAAATTAGAAATCACGTTAGAATTCAGTGCAACAAAGCAAGGATAGATAACTAAAAGAAAACTTCAGAATAGATAACAACAAATCTACATTTGATTAAAAACAATAATTAAATCATTTTTTTTATTTTCTCTTTTGTTTATTGAATATATTATTGACAATAAAAAGTTTAATTTGTTTGCGCATTCAAAAATATTTTTCTATTTTCCTTTGTACTGATATTACAGAATTCATCACCAGTTCTCCTATTAAACTTACATTATTCTTTTCTTCTTTTTGCTAGAAAGTTGTATAATATTCTCTATTTTCGGCAATGAAAAATTCCAGATATACAAAAATTGGTTAATTTTTTATTTACATGTTAAGTTGACGTGACAAGAAAATTATTCCCATTTTAAAAACTTAAAATCCCATATTTTCATAGCGGTTTATGGCTAGAAAAGAAGTAATTAAAAAATAATGCAAGTTACAATAATAATAATAATAATAATAGGCTTAGCGAATCCGGAGGCACGATGCCAACATCACCAATCGCTTATTATACACGTCCACCGTTCGTCATCCAAACCCAGTTTCTTCAGATCGGCTTTAACGCAATCTTCCAACCTTCGCAATGTTAAAAGTATTGAATGTTACAATACATGTTAAAATTGTGTTATTACATAAATCGTTATAATTACCTAAAGTATGATGTGCTCCTTTGTCACACACTATGCTGATATCTTAAATAAAATTAAAATATAGTAAAACTGAAATGCATCTACATAACAGCCATTTAATAACAATAGTATAAGAGTAAATAATCATATCCCAATTTCAATAGTATCCCCCATAGCAGGCACCCAATTATTGGTTCTAGGAATGTTGATGCTCTAGATAGTATAACTGAATTTCATTTTCATGAATTTCAAAATAAGGCAAAGGAGCACATCAGACTTTAGGTAATTATAACGATTTTTGTAACAACACAACTTTAACTTGTATTGTAACATGCATTCTATGTTAATGACCTCTTTTCTAGCCATAAATCGTTATGAAAATATGGGAAGTTTTGAAGATGGGAATAATTTTCCCGAAACGTCAACTTAATATGAAAATCAACAAATAAAGCAATTGTTATATATCTGGAAGTTTTCATTGCCGAAAATAAAGAACATGTCTTATGTATTTCTTTGTTTAAATAAGGTGCATTTTAGTACAACATTAACTTTCAGAAATGTTAATGAATATCATTTTGAAAATAAATATAAACGTATTAATAACCTTATTTATATATTTTAAATGTCACATATTATCGAGTGAGCAATACAAAACGATTTGATCCCAAAACAATTAAGAATTTTAATAATCAAAATTTAATTTAATATAAATAATAAAAGTGATTGATGAACTTATATAAATATTTAAACTGTCTCATTCTAACGAACGTTTATGCTGAACAAATGGTATTCACAGTTATGCTGTTGCAGCAAATTCCTGAAATTGATGAAGTAACGGAAAAAAGAAATGTTATAACTAATTGTGGTACAATTACAGTTACGGTACTAATTCATACCCATACCGAATTTCATCAACAAGAAAAGAACATAGATTGAGTATTTAGCCCCTATTCCTAGTTTCTTCCAAGCCTATTTTTTTTACTTTCCTGCCTATACTAGGTAAGAAAACTATTGCAATCGGGTCAAATTTCCGACATGCGGTTTTGACGGATTTATACGTTTCAGAGCTCAATGAGTCCGAAAAACACATTTTTAGCCATTGGTCTGTCTGTCTGTCTGTCTGTGCCAAGATTTTCTCGGGAACTACTGAACCGATTTTGTTGCTTCTTTTTTTATTTTGTAGGGTTTTAACTACGGATGCCTGTGGCAGAAATTCGGTGCTCCATGCGCAATAAATGAAAAACATGTTTTTTTATAGACTGTAGCGCGAAAACGGCTCTAACGATTTTGATGAAACCTACCTATACTAGGTAAGGAAAGTATTGCAATCGGGTCAAATTTCCGATATGCGGTTTTCGACGGAACGGACGGAGTGGACACACCAAATTTTTCTTCTTTTTTTATTGTAATATAATAATTTGTTTCATGAAACATAATTTGTTTAGCTCTGTAAAGTATTTAAATACGATTACACATTCACAAATCTTTTACGTTACGAAAAATGCATTATTATAATCTACATAAATGTCTCGACGCTGACTCTAGAAAATTGTTTAACCTTTTCTTCCTTGAACTGTCGTGAATGCGACAGAGAGTCTGAAACATCAGCCCATGTGCTGGGAAAATGTCCCAAAACTCCCTCCTCATAACACTCCACCACCATAGGGTCAAATTCGAATTTATGGAGCTCCTTAGGTAAAGGAAATTCATATGCTTCGAAGGAGTCTATTGTAACGAGTAATGACTATTTATTCTGGAGGGTAATGTTTTTGAAACTTAACAGAAAATGTATTTTTCAATTAAAAAAAAAATTGAATTAGATTTATCTTCCTGAAACTTGATCAAAGACAAGATTTGAGTACGATTTATTTGACAAACTGAAGCAATGTAAACCGACTTAAGGTAGATCAGTGTAAAAATTTCAATACCCTCTAATATTATTGATCAAGAACTTTTTGTCATAGCCTAATTTTGTCAAACAATAATTTCTGTCAAAACTAGAGGTAGATGTTTATTGATGTAAGATGTTTATTTTACTGTTCAGTTTTTATTCCTTTGTGCTGTTTTATTTTATCTTATTTCTATTTATTGTATTGCTTTTATGTGATTTATATATATTTGTTGCATTAAATGGTATGAATATGATCTATAATCATTATCTTTATTTGAGACAGAATGACCATGTTATTCATAGATGACTAGATTATTCAGTAAAAAAGGTTTAAAAAAATCATTGGGTGTCGGTCTAACAGGTGTGTGTGTCATTCAAACTTAAAACTTTTGGTAGAAATTATGCCCCAAAATATAAAATCTATATATTTTCTATAAAAATAATAATTTACAAAAAGAAAATATTTTTTTCCTCAAAACCATAAGACGATATTTCAACAATTTACATGAGATGATTAATGGGCCTGGACTGCTTTAATATTCTAAAATATTTGAAGGCCATTTTTGTCTGATTCGATCGGACCAATAGAACAATTATTAGAATCATTAAAGTCTTCTGTGTCTGCAAGAAAAATTGAAAATACGATTCTCCTTTTTAATTGACCTATCGATAAAATATTTGGACTAGGTTGCGTCAGAAGACTCCTTAAACGATCAAGTAATGAGACGTTCAAAAGTAAATTGGCACCTTCATTTAAGGCCAGCAGAGCGCGGACCGGGTTATTAAGAGCCCAATATTAGGACGATATTAAGGAGGCACCTTTTCAATATTTAATCTACCTCTACATATAAGCAACTCCTACCTCACTGGAATACCTGCAGTCGAGAGCAGGCATGGAATTCTGGGGTTGGCCGTTGTCTTTCTTCAGGAAATACGTTGGCACAGTGTCAGTACTATTTCTGAATTATTTTTATTGTATAACTTCAATTTAAAGGGAAGAAACAAGATTTATGTAAATCCATAAATTCAGTCTAGGAGGTTTAAACTGTTGGAAAAACATGTGAACAAATAAGGGGAGACCAGATTCAGTCGGTCAGCTAGTTTATTTTGTTCTCATTTCTATGTATTATTTTCTTATTACTTTATTTATTTATGTTTCAGTAAATACGATGTGAATGTACTCTCAATAAACAAGTTAAATAATAGGGCATATAAGAAACAAATGACCGTTTTTAAACCAAATATTTGTATTATTATTTCATTGATATAAAATACACTTAATACCCAAAGTATAGTCCATTGCTATCTGACGTCATTAGCCATCTGCTTGCCAATCGCTCGATCCCAGGCTGATACCATTTTTTGGAATGGCTGTCAAAGAACTTTTGGACCGCAATTTCAACTTCCGCAAAATTATCAAATTTTTTCCCTTGAAGAAAATGGGTCATGGATCTAAATAAATAGTAATCCGATGGTGCGGGGTTTAAACTATATGGTTGACGAGGCAGGAGTATTATATTATATATATCAGAAGGATTTTTGAATAAATGTTCACAAATTTCTAACCTATTAACTGATTGCTGAGGAGTGAGTTCGTGAGGGACCAAAACTACTGGACCGATTTTTTTCACATTTTAATATAAGATTAGAGGTCACCCGAGGATGATCCTCATTCATCGACATTACTATCCGCCTTTTACTTTCAAAATGGCGGCCAAAAAACCTATAGACTATAGACTGTTGCTATAGACTGTAGCTATTAAACGAATGTATAGATTTCAATGAAACTTCGCTACCGTCATTTTCTCGACGCCTTTTAAATTTATCTATATCTACGAAAAGAAGCTAGAAAAAAAGTTACGAGGGATAGTAAAATTAAATTCGGAATAACTCAAAATGTTTATACTTTTTTGTTGATATTGTGATAAGATGTTTCAAAGGTATTTAAATTTCCTATAAAATGAAGGAAATTTAATCGAAATCAAAGCACTATTAGTAGAGATATCGCGGTTTTTACATATTTTTGGTTTGTTTAAAGTTTACGAATATTCCTAAAAAAAAAAAAAAAAAAAAAAAAAAATCGTTAAAATCGGACAATTAAGAGCAAAAATAGGGTCTCCGGTTTTTTTTATATGTTCTACTCCAAATGTTATTTCCTTGGTTTGGTTTTTAAATTTTTAATGTGTAACTAAAGCAATGATATTTTTCTTTAGCATATTACTAATGATTAAAAAAAAAACGTTTAGTCCAATAATTGGAATCACCTTTTTTTTATTTTTCTTTGTAATTCGGAAGGTAATGTTACTTTAGATGTATAACTGTTTGGAAATAATAAACCATTGTGAAATAATTTGCAGCGTTTTTTTTTTTTTTTTTTTTTTTGCTTCCTCACTACCTAAGGTAGGGAAGCATTGTATTCGTGCCAGAGGATAAAAAAAAAATATGCTCAGAATTGAAAAAAATTTTCACACGCGTTTTACGTTTCAGACATCAAGGATCAAATTTGGTTCGGTGTCCTCTGTCTGTCTGTCATATATATGAGCAAACGTGTTTTCCTTGATATGTCTATATCTTTAAAACCGCAAGGTCGATTTGGCTCAAATTTGGAGGGAATTATTAACTTCTATCTACTACTCCAAAAAGAAATACTTCTACTTTCAGATCAGGGAATGAGTTATTTGATATGAATATAGTTTGAAAACGACGCATTCTATTTGATCCAAACTTGGAGGAAATTTGGAGAACAGTATAGAAATGACTTAGTATCATTTTCATTGAATTCTATTTACTAATTAAAATTAATATAAATAATTGTTAACAATATAATGGCTGTGAAATGTTGAAGGCACTGATCATATGTAGTGGGAGTTAGGTTATTACAATATTGTTATGGGGTTATAAAATTTAAGTTTTTATTTTAAAAAAATATTGATACTGCTTTGTTTGGTCGATTCCAAACGTTACTGGCATGACACCTACTGCCTTAATTAGATTTCGTGTAATTTTCAGTAAATTTAAAGTAATTTTTACTCTGAGTTTGTAAAAAAAAAACTTCTTATGTGTGATTGTGTTTATTTCTATTGAAGTTCAATCAGTTCTTCTTGGTCCCAATTTCCTTCTTAAATATCGTAGGAGTGAGAACTTCACCCATATTTTTACACTCGAGCTTAATTAGTTTTGTCCTGATTGAAGAAAAATATTGGTCCCATTAACTCCGAACAAACAACAAGTTGAATTTTTCCTATGGATTTTCTAGTTCCATCCATTTTACGAACTGAAAACTTACCTATTAAGTAAATATCACCATTATTAGTGCAAAAGGTTGTATGTAACAATTTTCAACTTTTATTATATTTGTGCTAAAGTAGACATTTCGTAGTCTGAAACTGATATAAGTATTCTGCTACTATGGAAAACAGTAGAAGAAAATAAAATATGAAATTACACCTTTTTTTTTTAAACTTTTATTATGATATTTACAACTGTATTAGTATGAATACATCAAGTAAATTTGTACAGAGAAATATTATTACATGAAACACGCTTGTTGAGAAACTACCCACTGGTAGCACTCTAATAATTTGTCTACATGAGAAGATCACGAGGCCATCTTCTTTTCAGGCGCCTCGGAGGGTTAGGAAGGATAGGTTTATTATGGAAGGATAGGTATCTGGATTTGGCCAAATCGGAAACATATGGAACATTGAGGTCTTTATGGATTATTTTATTAGTGGCAAGGTAAGGAGCATTGAGGATTTTACGAAGGATTTTGGATTGTAAGGATTGGATGCGAGAGGATGCGAGAGGAATTCGATGGTTTAGTGGAGCCCCATAGCTCAACTCCGTAAGTCCAAATAGGTCTTATTATAGTCAAATATATGAGTCTTTCGTAATTAAGGGGAAGTTTAGAGCGTTTGTCCAGTAAGTGTTGGAGTAGTCGGAAACGTCGAGCGGTTTCTTGTCGTTTCAGTCTGGTATGAGGATTCCAAGTTAGACGTTTGTCCAAATGAAGTCCAAGGTATCGGATTTGTTCAACAGGGAAATTATACCTATAAATAAATAATGAGTTTTTACATCAGTAATGAAACGCATGTTCAGTATGCATTGGTATTTTTTTTTTTTTAATGAGGAATAATCAGTATGGAATCTTCAAATACTGCGCTCTTTCGCATTTTAATATTAGCTGATTAACGAAATTCATGGATATCAAACCCGCGAATGTTGAAGAACAACTGTATTTTCGAATCGGCTTCTCTCAGATATTTTATTCTCATGCGAAAAATTGTATGCCTTGTAATATAGATATATTTTAGCCAATGAAAACAGTGAGGAAGCTGTACTGACCTTACTTGGCAGGCTTTTTTTTTTTTTTTTTTTCTAGTAATGCCTTAAAATTACGAGAATTTCGGTCATGTTTCTTCTTTGAAACAAATAACTAAAATAAAGCTTTTTTTTATGAACTCAAATAGGATTAAACAAGCTTAGAGAATGATCTAAAGGGACTATTAGGTATTGGTAAGTATTAAATAGGATTAAAATATTTACAGTCTTTTTTTATTTTTTACAATAAATGAGGCCAATTTTCACCAAGAGTTTATTGATATGCATTAATTTGACGTTCCGACCATACTAAGGGTCATATTCAAAACTTGATGAGTCATTCGTTATATGTTCATCATTGATGTTGTAATTAATATGTTCAATGAACATTAACTTGTCATGTTATATAGGGGCTTCGCTCACGTCATTACTGGAGGGACTAAAATTAATTAAATTAATTACAACATTAATGATGAACATCTAACGGAGGACTCATCAAGTTTTGAAGATGACCCTTAGTATGGGCGAAACTTCAAATTAATGCGTATCAATAAAATGTAGGTGAAAATGGGCCTAATTTATTGTAAAAAATAAAAAAAACTTCAAGACACCAAAAGTAGGAAACATGAACAGAAGAAATATTTAAAGTCTTTTGAAATCTTGAATTTAAAAAAAAACGCTCATTTTTTATACACCCTATTAAAAAACAAACAAAATTCCTGAAAAGTAATGTTTGCCACATTGCCATGGACAGATTAAAATATTTAATTATTATGTGGAAACAAAATTGTCAGGAATTCCAGTCGCGATATGTATAGGGTTAGCCGACGTTTCGACCTAAACATTGAATCGACTGAAATTCCTAAGAATTTTGTTTCACCCTCATAATTAATTAGTCAACTATTTATCCTCCTCTAAATCAATTATTATATTTTTTCAGGATCAAAGATGAACCAAGAGGTTACGTCTACACGTCGTGTGTTACTTTACGTTTCGGAATAGCGATAATGGAAGTCAGGAAGAACGAATACCTGGTCGTGCGTTATCCATTGTTGATGTTGTTCAGCATAACTACAATTCTCGGGATTCTCATAGACCACATCTTGGAATTCAGCGACGCGAGATGGTTCACCAAAATCCTCGATTACAACTACTGCGGGGGTTCTTTCCTTTTCGCCTATACGCTGAAGGCGAAGAGAGCTGAAATCGCGGTATTCACTCAGGTCCTGGATCAGTGGTGGCCGTACACCTTCCTCGATCAGGAAGAAGAGGAGTTGAAAGAAAAGCTGCAGAGGAAGTTGAAGAAGTTCAATCACTTCTACAATAGGTGTGAGTATAAGCCTGATGTTCTTCAGTGTTTTTTGTTTTTTTTTGTTTTTTTGGACGATTACAATGGTTCATTATTGAAAATAATAAACCAAAAATATTTAAAAATCGCGATATCAATACTAATAATGCTCTGATTTGGATGAATCTTTCTTCATTTTTTAGGAAATTATATATTAATTAAGGGTTATTGTCCTCTATATTAACATTCCTAATTGAAAACAAAAAAAAAGATTACCTATTTATTCATTAAAAACAATAGACCAATCCAAAGCAGAAATATTTTTAGATGAAAACATGAAAAAATGAAGTGGGTGGAATTTTTTGCCTATCAGTGTATATTACACTACAATAATTGTTGGCATCTATTTACTTGAGTTTAGGATCTTGTTATTTAGCTTACTCTGTTCATATTTTAATGTACTTACTGTTTTTAATTTTAATAAGCTTATTCACATCGTTTAAATTTTTTTGTCTAAATATTATGTAATTTCTACAATTCTCTATCTTTTTGTATCATGTCGGTTTTAGCCCTCCAAGTCGGGTTGAAACGTGACTTTTAATAAAAAAAGTTTTACCCCTATTTAGCCTATTTATGACCGCCACCCCGGTCCATCCTCCTTCCTTTAAAAATCTGTCAAAGTTTCGCTAATTCAGGTATCATCAGGACAGAAAAACAGCTGGAGTATGCAATTGAATTTCATGGAGTGATGTTCGATTAGATGTTCTTTTATGTTCTGATAATGCCTGGATTGGCGAAACGTTGACGGACTTTTCTTTGCCTGCATCTTAGAGACATAAGATTATGTGTTTTGGATTTTTTCCAAAAATAACCTGACATTTTTTTTTTTTTTTTTTTTTTTTAAATTTCTTTATTGAGTATTATAACAATCTGTCTGTTCGACATTGGTTATAGTGAGGTAGGATGACATTCACACCATATGTACAAAAAAAATAAAATAAATAGAACAAAATAATAATCAAAAGTATATACAATAGACAATAAAATAAAATAACCTAAAAAATAAGAAAATTAAAACTAAGGAAAAAAAAAAAAATAATAACATGCATATCTATATACAATCAGGCGAGGGAACTTCAGGAGAACCCTGCGCTACTCTTCCAACCGCGTCACTGGTACTAAAGCCAGCGGAGATTGGTCGAGAGCACTTTAGCCACATACACACATGTCTTGAGTGAAGAATCTGGCCATTGCCAGAACTCCAATTTATATAATTTACAAAAGGTCGCGAGGCCACTGCCGTTTCAACCTTCTTGGAGGATTATAGGGATGGGAGATGCTTGATAGGGATTGTGCAAGAGGATTTGGGTGGTAAGTAAGGTTCTGGTGAAATTTGGAGAACTTTTCTGGGATAAGGTCTAGGACAAATGGGATGTTAAGGTCATGATGTAGGGTTTTGTTGGATACATAGAAAGGAGCATCGACTATTGTTCGAAGGACTTTAGACTGGAAGGATTGGATGCGCTTGATGTTAGAAAATTTTGCTGATCCCCACAGTTCTAGTCCGTAAGTCCAAATAGGTTTCAGTATTGACTTGTAGATCAGTAGCTTGTTTTCAATGGAAAGTTTAGATTTTCTGCTTAGTAGTCGGTATAGTTGGCCGTATCGTCGGTTGAGTTCTTGTCTTTTGAGTCTAGTATGCGGGTTCCAAGTTAGTCTTCGGTCTAAATGAAAGCCAAGATACCGGACTGTGTCTGAATAAGGAAGCTGGATGGAATTAAAGAGTACTGGTGGACAGGAATTGCGTCGGAGTGTAAAAGTAATATGTTGGCATTTAGATTCATTAACTTTAATGCGCCAGTTATTACACCAGTGCTCAATCAAGGTGAGATGACTTTGGAGATTTAAGGATGCTATTTCGGGATCAGAGTTGGATGATAAGATTGCGGTGTCGTCAGCGAATGTTGCAAGAAAAGTATCGGGATGAACAGGGATGTCAGCAGTAAAGAGGATGTAAAGCACGGGACCCAAGACGCTGCCCTGGGGAACACCGGCTTTAACGGAGTAGATATTGGAAAATTCTGTTCCACAGCGAACTCGAAAGGAGCGGTCAGAGAGGTAGGATCGGAGGACTAGGTACAAGGACTGAGGTAAATGGATTTTAAGCTTGGAGAGCAGTCCGGAGTGCCATACCCGGTCAAATGCCTGTGCAATGTCCAGAAAGGCACCCGAACAGTATTCCTTGTTTTCTAGGGCTGAGGAAATATGATCAACAACTCGGAGTCCTTGTTGGACAGTAGAATGTTGAGAGCGAAAACCAAACTGATGGGAAGGGATATTTTGGGATTCTATAATGGGTAGGATTCGTTTCAAAAGGATCTTTTCAAAAATTTTTGAAAGGATTGGGAGTAGGCTGATTGGTCTATAGGATGTTGAGCTATTGAGAGGTTTTCCTGGTTTTGGGAAAAGGATAATAGTGGAGTGTTTCCATAACAGAGGGAAGTGGGTGGTGCGTAGGATACAATTGTAGATATATGTAAGGAATATGACTGCTTTGGATGGAAGTTGTCGAAGGATTTGAGGTGTAAGGAGATCATGTCCAGGAGCTTTACGGAGGATTAGTTTTTTTAATTGAAATTTTACTTCGGAAGGATGAATAGCTTTTGGGGGCAAGGAAAGTGGGATTGGTGATGTAAGGAGTTCTTCTACTGTTACGGTGTGGGCAGGATGGGATTCCGGATGTGAAATAAATGTATTGGATAGGTGAATGGCGAACTCCTCAGCTTTATCTTCGTCAGATGCTGCCCAGGAGCCATCACCTCGTCGGAGAGGATGGGAAATGCGGTGAGGATTTAGGATTTTTGTTGTGGTTTTCCAAAGGGAATTGTCGCGAGAAGAGAGGGAGGATAGGTAGGAGTTGAAGGATTGTGATCTGAAGGTGGCTAATTCCAGTTTTAATTGTTTGCAGTAGTAATTATAGGAGCAGCGGTCGGTAGGATGTCGGGTTCGTTGCCATAATAATCTGGCACGGCGTTTGGTGCGGATTAGGTTAAGGAGGTGTTGGGGTAGAATGGTCTTTATAGGAATTCTGGAGGAGTCTTTTGGAAAGGAGGCAGTCCAGGCGGCTTGTTGGATTGTGGTAGTAAAGGAATTTACGGCACTATCAAGGTCATCGGGAGTTTTGAGGGATATGTTGAGATCAATATTATCGGAGATTATTTGGCGGAAAAGGTCCCAGTTTACTGGGCCCCTAATGAATGACGGTGGAGAAGGTTTGGGAACAGGTTCAAGTGAAACATTAAGGATTAGAGGACTATGGTCAGAGGAAAGTTCATTTAGACTTGTAATGGAACAATTGAGGGGACTTAAGCCGCTGTGGATAAAGAAATCAAGAAGATCAGGATTACGGTTGGGATCTGTGGGCCAGTAGGTAGGAGAGTTGGGGGAAAGGAGGTGAAAACGTTGGGAATTGAGTACAGACAGCAGGGTTCGGCCACGAGAATTCGTGGTTCTGGAACCCCATTGTTGGTGCTTGGCATTTAGGTCTGCACCCAAGATGAAGTGATGTCCTAAGGAGTCGAGGAGAGAACTGAATTGGGCATTGGATATGGATCGGTTAGGAGGGCAATACGCTGATGCAAGAGTGACCGGAAAGGAGAAGGTTTTTATCACGATAACGGTGGACTGTAGGAAATCATGTATTGGTAATGGGAGTACGTGATGGGAGAGGGATTGGTGTACAATTACAGCAGTACCGGCATGTGCTTTTCCGTCAGGGTGGTCAGTACGATATGTCAGGTATTGTGGTATATTGAAGTGCTGTTTAGTGGTTAGTCGAGTTTCAGTAATTAGTGCCACATCAATGTTCTTGTCAAGTAGTAAAGTAGATAGTTCGTCTGTATGATTTCTAACACCATTCGCATTCCAAAGGAGAACCTGACATTAAATACACATAATACCGTTTCTGGGATCTCCAACCAAAACGTATGCTGTTTTCTAAGACACTTAGGTCTTCTTTGATTTCATAATAGCTATACAGTAGTGATGATATTCCAATATGGTTATCATTGTTGCAGTCATGGTTACGATGGGAATCGGTTTCGGAATGATGCCGCTAGGCCGCTACTTCTACGAGACTGAGAAGAGCTCCACGAACCTCCTACTCCAGCGCTGTTGGTCACCATTTCCCCTGGACACCTGGTGGGGCTTCTCCATGACCTACTGGATCGAACTAACCTCCATGCTATCCCTGTTCTACTGCTGGACCTATATCGTCTGCTTCCTCATAACGGTCATGGAGACCATTGGGAAGCAGCTGCAGCTCATCGGGATTTCTCTGGTCACAGTCGAGAAGAGAGTCATGAAAGCGATGCTCCTCTCGAAGGTGACCGGAAGGAAGGAGTGGTATGAATCTTATGTGCGTATGATGCAGGAGGAGTTAGCTAGCAGCGTGAAGCACTATCAAAAGATGCACAGGTAAGGATGATCGCCTTTATTTTTTTTTAATATTAATATATTAAAAAAAGTATAATAATAATAGCCTTTTATTATACGATATACATACAACATAAACATATAGTCAGATAACATATGAACTTTTTAGGATAAATACATTTTTTGCACCTCACGTACCACATATGCTTTCCCAAAAAGGGAGTGATAGTCCAATTTTCTCAGGTGACCAATCCTACAGGGAAGAGGGGATACCTCAGTAACAACTTACAAATTGGATAGCGAAAAATGGCCAAACTCTAGCAGGTGATTCTAGAAAAAATTTCCAACAAAAAAGTTCATTTGATGCATGTATCGATTCCGAACGGAAAAATCTGGTGCGCGCAACACACAACTGTCACTTACCACTCAATTTTGAATAGACATTATTTTCTGGCCATGTTGGGCAATTATAAAATTTTTGAATTGCATTTTTAGCTAAAGCTGAAAAATTTCAGCTAACAAATCATAAATATCATAAAAATAACAAAAGTCCTATTTATTGCATTTATTTGTTGATTATGGATTGTACCATACGTTGATTATGGCTTGCACGATCCGTTGATTATGGATCGTAAGACTATTAGTTATTAAACTGTTATTTTCCATTGCAAAGTTTATTAAAACGGAATTAAGAGATTTGCATTGTCTGTCAGAGACAGGTCAAAAGCCACCCTAATTTTAAGTGGATACTGTTGAAATATCACAAAGAGAGGATTCATCAAATTATTCTCTAATTTAATTTTCTAAAAGGTTACATGATGATTTTTCGGAATAAACGAACGTTGATACCTAATTATTAAAATATAATATCGGATCTAGAATTATTAATCTACAGTAAATGTATTTAAGGTTATAAACATATGCTTTATACATCCATGAAATGATTTTATATTTTGCTTCTTCTTTCACACAACTACAATGAAATAGTTTTTTAAACAATGTCATTGCCTTGATTAGATGGATTTAATTTTTTTTCTTTCAAACTTAAAAACAAGTTTTAACGTTTTCATTTAGTAGGAACATTCCATTTGGTTGGCTTAGAAGCATGTGATTTAAGTTAAATAATTTGTTTTCTGAAATTATAATTTATATTTTTTTGTCACTCTCCATTACTTTTTACAACTTTATTTATTCCATATTATTTTTTTCTAAAATTCTCTGCTTCACAACGATATTATACATATTATACGATATTATACATATACCTTCTGACTATTATTTTCGGGGATTCATTTTTGACATGGATAAGCATTTTTCTTTTTTTCTTCTTTATTCAATAATCAAATTATATTTAGCTATTTTTCATAGTTACTGTCAATAAGAGAGAGTTGTTTTTTAATAATAAACCAAATTAAAACTACTTTAGAGGAAGATCAATATGAACATTGGGCATTTAAGCCCTGTAAAATGACATCAATGTTGATAAGACCTAGCTCATATTAAAAACAACTTAATAATACACTGATACACCGAGTTTAATATAAATCGTTGCAGTCGTTTTTGAGAAAATTGTAAAAATGTGTTTCAGCGTTCATATAAAGTGGCACTTACGGTTAGCTGATTTTAACGAAAAAGTTGCTGTCACATCGAAACCATATACAAACCTTAAAAACGCAATTTAAGTTTCGTACGAGTTTTCGTTTTTGAGACCGGCTGTATACACACACACATGCACACACACACACACCATTTTGTTGGACTATGGTATTTCGACTCAGGAAACCTCAAAACATGTATTTCCGTTGGAACTGAAATTCGAAAATTTTCCCGATCGCAATACTTTCCCTTACTATTTATTCTATATACAGGTAAGTGAAAGTAAAAAAGGATCCAAAATGATTATATGTATAAAAACATATTTCCGTATATTGTTATTTAAAAAATATAGTGCACGCATCACAGAATTTTCAACTTACCGCTTTACTTTGAATATAAATTATTTTTTGTCAATTTTAGCCTAACACAAAATTTTTGCAGCTCATTTTTATCGGAATCAAACCTTAAACCTTTAAGCTAACCTATAAAGACTTATTAAGATCATTAAAATGATAGCACCCGTATTTATATATGGACGCTAGACAATGAAAAACGTATTACTCTGTCAGTCTATTTGAAATAGATAACTCCATTCTCTGGGCTATTTATGGCTAGAGGGATTTGAAAATAAATCTCTATATTTAATCTATAAATTATTTATTTTGTTAGATTAGTTTATTTTTGTTTAGTTTAGTATCTTTTAGTTTATATACATTTAGTATTATTTTATTGCTGCTTATATTTTTATTTATTGTGCATAGTATGAATAAGCTACTCTTTATCACTATTAACATTGTCCTTTAATGTGACCGATTGTAATAAATCTCAATAAAGAAATATATAGAAAATCTATAAATGATTATGGATTATAGTAATATAAGTTATTAAACTCTTATTTTCCATTGCAAAGTTTATTAAAATAAAATCACGACTTTTTCATTGCATGCCATGGATTGGTCAGAAGTTGTCACCCTAATTTTAAATGTAGAGATTTCACAGAGTCAAATACATCAAATTATTTTATAATTTAATTGATTTAAAGATGGCTTGATGATTTTTTTTAATAAACGAACAATAGACATCTGATTATTTAAATATAATATCAGATCTAGAGTTACTAAACTATAATAAATTTATTTAAGGTTTTAAACATATGTTATACAAATACTTGAAGTATTTTTATATTTCACTTCTTTCATACAAGTACAATAAAATAATTTTTTACACGAAATAGAACATGCACTATAAGCGTGGGAAATATTCAGTATTTCATTCTCTTCCGTCTAAAGTCTTTCTCTAATAGTACCTTTAATATGGTTTATTTTAAATAAAGTAAAATATAAAACATTTCATTTATCTTAAATACATTTACTGTAGTTTAATAATAGTTTTCCTCTAAAGTCCCTTTAATTTGATTTATTATGAATAATAACTATTTATCATTGTTATAATAAATGGAAAAATGCTTAATATAAATTTTGGAAGAATTTGATAATTAAAAAAAAGAGAAAAAAAGAAAAATACTTATCCAGGTTGAAAATGAATATCCGGAAATAATAGTCAGAAGGTATACGTATAATATATCGTTTGAAACCGGAAATGAAAAAAAAAATAAAAACAATATATAATATAGAAAGTTGTAGAAGGTAACGGAGAGAGGCGAAAAAAATTTAAATAATAATTTCTAAAAACTAACATTATTTAACGTAAATCACGTATTTTCAAGGAAATTAAATGAAATTTTCCTATTAAATGTAAACTTTTTAGAAAATTAAATTAGTGATTAATATGATGAATTTTCTCTTTGGGATATTCCAACATGCGATATCCACTTACAATTAGTGTGACAACTTTTGACCTGTCCATGACAGACAATGCTCTTAATTCCGTTTTAGTAAACTTTGCAATGTAAAATAACTAATAGTCATATAATACATAATCAACCGGTGATATAAGAAATAGGACTTTTGTTATTTTAATGGTATTTATGATTTGTTAGCTGTAATCTTTTAGCTTTAGCTCGGTTAAAAATGCAATTTAAAAATTTTATAATAGCCCACATGACCAGAAAATAATTTCTATTCAAAGCTGAGAGCTAAGTGCAAGCTGTGTGTTGCACGCACCAGATTTTTTAACAGGGCTCAATTCCGTGAATTTTATATATTTTTTCGAAATTAAAAATAATTTTAAAAGTTTATGTTTAGTTAAAAAATTTCATTTAATTTCTTTCGAAACAGGTGGTTTTCCTTAAATAATATTAGTTTTCAGAATTTGTATTTATAATGATCTCCATTTCCTTCTACGGCTTTTTGTGCTAGATATTGTTTTTTTCTAAAATTCACAGCGTTCCAACGATATATTATACGTATACCTTCTAAATATTATTCTCGGTAATTTATTTTCGTTCCAATCAAGCATTTTTTCTTTTTTATCCTTATATCTAGAATCAAATTCTTTCATAGTTATATTTAGTATATTTTTATTACTGCTAACAGTGAGAGATAGTTAATTATTAATTATTGGTTAAATGAACAAAATTAAAGATACTTTGTTGGAATAAATTTGGAACATTGGACATTTAAACACCGTTGAGCGATTTAAATGGAGATAAGACCTACCTAAGACCATTTAATTATACATTAATTCACTGAGTTTAATCAAAATCGTGAGAGAGATTTTTGAGAAAATGTTAAAAACGTAGAAAATCTATGATATAACGTGGTACTTCCAATCAGCCAATTTAAAAAAAAAAAAAAATGTTGCTTTAATATCCAAAGTAATACATATTTCAAATACGTAATATCAGTTTGGTACAGCTTTTCGTTTTTCAGCTACACTATTCACATACATATAGACAATTTTGCGGGACTTGGTTATTTGGAAAATTTTTACGATCGCAATACTTTCCCTTACTATATATTAGATATATAGGTAAGTGAAAGTAAAAAATTTGTAACGCGCCTCACACAACTTTCACATTCAAATAACTTTAATTAAGCTATTGCACATAGTCTTTGAAGTGTATTTTTAATGCAACTAAATTATAAAGATTATATTTGTGGATTTTGTTCATGTGACCATGTCTGAGTAATTCAGTCATATTTGTGACTATATAACACAACTTCTATTATATTGGATGTAGAGGAAATTTTTTCGTTAAGTTGCTTACTCGCAGTTTGTATAAGACGTATTAACAATTCATTAAGAGCAACCCACTTATTAGTAATTATTTTGTTTTTATTTTATTTAGATTCCTCAAGGTAATATCCTAGGTCCTATCCTTTAAACAGTTTATACAGCTGACATCCCAACCCAATACAACACTGTCATCACCACCTATGCCGATGACACGTGTATCCTAGCAATTAATAACGATCCATCTATTGTATCCCAAACTCTTCAATCACATATCACCAGTCTTGAAAAATGTTGTCAAAACTGGAGGGTTAAAATAAATTCCAATAAATCCCATCAAATTATCTTCACTCTTCGTCGTAAACTTATGACTTCCTGTCTTACAGTATCCTTCAATAACAGCCCTCTTATCCCAGTCCAACACATCCGATACTTAGGACTCCACCTTGACAGACGACTCACTTGGAACCCCCATACCAGACTGAAATGACTAGAAACCGCCCGAGGTTTTTTGACTACTGCAGCACTTACTAAACAAACGCTCTAAGCTTTCAATCAATTACAAACGACTCATATATATGACAATAATAAGACCTATTTGGACTTAAGGAATAGAGCTTTGGGGCTCCACTAACCCATCGAATTCCTCTCGTATCCAATCCTTACAATCCAAAAACCTTCGTAAAATCCTCAACGCTCCTTACTTTGTCACAAATAAAATCATCCATAAAGACCTTAATGTTCCATATGTTTCCGATTTGGCCCAATCCAGATACCTATCCTTCCACAACAAACTGCAGAACCATCTGAATCCTCTCGTTTCAAACCTTGCTTCTTCCTCGATCCCTGATAACCCTCCGAGGCGTCTGAAAAGAAGATGGCCTCGGGACCTTCTAATATAGAACTTTAATTTGAGTTCTACCAATGGGTAGTTTCTCTTCATGTTTTATATGTCATGTTACCAATGTCACATTTACTTGTTGTATTTTCCATGTATTACAGTTGTAAATTTCATTAGAATAAAAATAAAAAAATAAAATTTTATTTAGAAAATAAATTTATAAAACTTTCAATATTAGAAACAAAAATAGGGTTGCTATAACATAGCGCTTAGTACATAATAATTTATTTTTATTCCAGACTGTCTGAAGAGGCTTGTTCTGTCTTCTCAACTCCAATAAACGTCTGTTTTTCTTCTGGAATACTCGCTATGGTCGTATCTTGTGGAAAATTAGCCACGGTAAAAATTTTTAATTATTTATACTTCAAACATTTATGATTAATAAATGATTATTATTAAATGATTTAATCATTTATTAATGATCTATTATAAACATTATCGTGAGAATAAGATAAGGAGTATTAACATTAAAAATTTAAATAACAACAAATAGCCCAATATAAATGAGCTTCGAAACATCTATATATATATTTACTACTTTTCCTTAATCGACCTTTGAGTATTAAAGTTAAACTTAACTATTTAATTGGGAATAAGGTCACTTAATTATTATTTAATAAACTATTGAATGTTCATTTCTTCTGTTTATTGATGTTTCGATCCCGGTATTATCTTTATATTAGTCAACCATGGGATCGTCTTCAAAGCTAGAATTTTAATAAAGTCTATAAGTAGCTTAATATATGTGCTAGTGGACGGTGCTGAGACTGTCGGTGTGTCTCTGGTCTGATCGAAGCTCTATTTGTTTAAAATTCTAGCTTTGAAGAGGATCCCATGGTTGACTAATAAAAAGAAAATACCGGGATCGAAACTTCAATAAACAGAAGAAATGAACATTCAATAGTTTATTAAATAATTAATAAGTGGCCTTATTCCCAATTAAATAGTTAAGTTTAAATATATAATATATAATATATATATATATATATATATATATATATATATATATATATATATATATATATATATATATATATATATATATATATAAATGGTTGCATGTCTGTCTGTTTGTCCTTTATGCTTTAATAAACCATTCATCCGATTACCATGAAACATTAGGAAGTTGTTGCGTATATTCGCGCTAAGATTTCTGGCATAGTACATCCGACCTACGAAAACTATATTGGTATAAAAAAATATCTGGTGTGTCCACTCACACGACTTTTCTACCCATTTCAGAAACGTTTTTGTATCTTTACATATCTTCATAAAGAAAACAAAAAAGAATGAATCAGGGCAAGGGTAGGTATTGGGAAAATTTGCTGACCTGTTTGGGTAATGGGGAAAAAAATTTATGACCCCCAACCCGGACCATCTCCTTCCTTTAAGAAAAAATAATTCAAAATCTCTGTACCCAATTAAACTGTAAAGTAGATTTTTTTCTTGTTTTTTAACAGTAAGTTCTTTTCGGAGTAATAAAGAAATTTATAATAAACCCATTATTTCATTAAATTTAATATATGTTTTGGTACCTGAGAAAAATATCTTATTACCTCTCTTTCATGCAGATTAAATATATGTATGTGTAATATTTTCAGGAAAGGGATAACAAGTTCGTGATTTTCCAAGCAGTCGTGATGGTTGTGAATGTTTTAGTAAACCAGTTCATTGTCAGCTGTATCAATCAGATCTTGACAGATCAGGTAAATAAAAAAAAATATATTTTATATCAATATCTCTCTATTACATAAAAAAAGCTTTTAGACATTTTAATATTTTATTTTAGATTAGTATTAGGCGATTAGGAGGATTTCAGAAGCTCAACTTTTCAGCTCCCTTATGGCGATTATTTTACAAATTATAATAAAATTAAATTAGGATCAGGAGACTGAAATTCCACGGACATATGGTAAGAATGGCCCCAGAAAGACTTAACAAGGAAATATTCCAAAAAATCCGTAGATACAAAAGCTTGGGAGGATACATCAGGCAGATGAAGGAAGAAACGGAAAGACTTGGAATAACGGACCGGGACTGTCTGGACAGGGAGGGGTTATGGTAAGAGACTAAAGGAGAGATCACGGTTCTTGCTAAGAAGAAAAGTTCGAGAAAGGGAGTCGCGTGGACGGAAGAGAAAAAGCGGCGGCACTCGGAGATAATGAGAGAGAAGTGAAAAGAAAGGAAAAGCAAGAAAGAAGCCAAATGTCATGATATTCGCGTGGTCTCTATGGCCGTTCCGTGAAAAAAAACAAATGAAATTAAAAAATAATTTAATTCTGGGACTACAGTCCTCTAAGAATAATAACATTGTTACAAATCTATGTGTCTTAGCCTGGCTTAGAAGATTACAAAATATTGGTTAAGCCGATCTAGTTTAAGAAACCGACCCACTCATAATTAGACCTAATATAATTTAATATAAAAAAAAAACAGATTACTAATTCAGGTCCGCCTCTAGGGAAAATACATGATCAAGGTTTCAGTAAACAACAAATTTATAAAAATCACTCTACAACTTGAGTGCAAAATGTGCTATGGAAAAAGAGAAAGTTAATCTTGTATTATTTAAATGCTCGATACAGAATAGTTCCAGAGTAAAAATTTACTAGGCTATAGGAAATATTAATAGGACAGAAATATTTAAGCCAACCACTCTAAAAGATACGAGAAAATTAATTTTTTTCATCTGTAATATATCAAATTATAGAGAATTGGTTGGATTATCTCGATTAGAGTGCTCTGAATATTATGGCAAAAATATTTATTGCACGTTGGCATGTAATCAGTCCGGGTCTTGTTTCTTATTTATTCTCTTTGTTTGTATGAGTAATCTTTTAATTAAATTTTTAAACATTTAAAACAATTTTTCTAATGTATTAAAAAAAAAATTTAAAACATAGTGTTATATTAAAAAATAAAATGTATTTATAGGTTTAATTGTTATTGTGTACGTGTTTTGTTGATAATTTTAGATTTTATATTAATGTTAATAATTGAATCTATTTAAACTGCTTTTTTTACCAATTATGATTTTTGAGTTATCCTTAAGAATGTTGTAATATCTGTAATGAAGTATTAAAAAGGAAAAATCTAAAAAGGAGTTGTAAAACCATAAAGATAATAATGTTTGTTATTCTAAGATAGACTTTATTTGTGCGGAATTCTTTCCTCAAAACTAATAAAGATTAAAATAAAAATATTTTATAATGTTTTGAGTGGTATATAACTGAATATTGTCTGATTTTGGATGTTATCAGGAATAGAAGATGAAGGGAGGTTAGAAATAAGAGGGTTCGGATGGATCAGAAGTTTATTATGGAAGGACATGTATCTGGAATGAGCTTAATCGGAAACATACGGAACATTAAGGTCGTTACGAATGATTTTATTTGTGACAAAGCAAGGCGCATTGAGGATTTTACGAAGGGGTTTGGATTATAGGGATTGGATACGAGAGTAATTGGATGGTTTAGTAGATTCCCAAATCACGATACCTTAAGTTCAGATAGGTCTTATTATAGTAATGTAGACGAGTCTTTTGTGAATAATTGGAAGTTTAGAGCGTTTGTCTCAAGTTTAGTGCTGTATTAGTCGAAAACATCGAGCAGTTTCTAGTCGTTTCAGTCTGATATGGGGGTTCAAAGTGAGTCGTTTGTCCAGGTGGAGTCCTAGGTATCGGATTTGTTTTACAGGGATAAGAGGGCTATTGTTGAAGGATACTGTAGGACAGGAAGTCATAGGTTTACGACGAAGAGTGAAGGTAATTTGATCGGATTTATTGGAATTAATTTAATCCTCCAGTTTTGACACCATTTTTCAAGACTTGTGATATTTGATAAAGAGTCTGGGATGCAATTGATGGGTCTTTATTAACTGATAGGATAAAAGTGTAATCGGCATAAGTGGTGATGACAGTGTTGGATTGGGTTGGAATGTCAGCTATTTAAACTGTGTATAGGATAGGACCTAGGATACTACCTTGAGGAACACCAGCAAACTGAAAAAAATATATGAATAAGCATGGTTTTGATTTACTTTGAAGTATTCTCTGTTTCTAGATGGATAATTTACGCGTGACCATCTACGACTCCTCGTGGTACACTCTGCCAATACCTTGCAGGAAGACTATCCACATGATGCAAGTGATGCTGCTCAGACCTCCGTCCATTAAGACAGTGATGGGAACTAAAACTGATATGGAATTTTTCGCAACGGTAAAATAGTAATATTTGTTTTATTTATGAATTTCCTATGAAAAGTTCTTTTGGAATAAATTACTAAACGTTGCAGCCAATTTTACTCATTATGCTTACCTTAACATAATTTTCAATTTATAAACATTTAGTGCTTTTCATTGTAAAGCTGACCATAGTAGACATATTAGCCACAGCCAAAGGCATTCCTTTAAATTCAGTTTGTGTATGTATAAGGTTGCTGAACACTAACATTATTTTTTTATTTCCTCCTCTTCTCTGATTTTTACACAATACGGGTTTTTCTCCAGCCAGGGGGTGAGGGCGGAGGATCAATGTCAGAGTTAAAAGCCCACTGGCACCGGGACACGAACTCTTACTTATTTTTATTCCGTATAACTTCAGTTATCCGCTGAGCTACCCCGTCTCACTCTCACCAACCTGGATTCAACAACCGGCTCTGACAATTCGACTCGACAACAATTAGTTGTTTTTGTTTTCCCCTTAACTTCCGCGAATTACAAAAAAACAAAAAAAAAAAAATCGTTGCAGCTAACAAATGTTATTTTGGACGAGTGTGTTTGATGAAAAGTAGAATCATTGTCTCGCACAACTAAATTACCTTTGTAAAAAATTCTGATTAGACCAGTGCTCACTTAGATTGGATTTGATGAAGAATTACTAATGATATGATGTACTGATAAAATTATACTTTTGAGAAATAATAAAGATATGATCCCTTGTTTCATGAATATCAATTACGTCATGATATTTTGTAATCTGATGTTTTTAAATTTTAAAATAATGGAAAGAACATATCCTAAAAATAACACTTAAGTTTATTGAAATTTATTAAAAATAAAAAGCCTTAAGGATTTGATTTACAAGAATACTAATAATATGTGAACAATATGAATGATTTATCATCTTCCATTTATCACTATAATTTCACAATAAAAAAATTATATAAACACTTAAAATTCATAATAATGTCATGGAATATTGTATTTTAATGATGATTTAATTATATTATTTTATACATTATTATTACAGGTACATATTATATTTTTCAGGTGGTCAACACGTCATACTTCTATCTCGGTGCTCTCTTGTCAATGAATGTCAAAATCTGATTTGAAGCTCATTTTCTTTGTGGATGAACTGAAAACAAGATAAAAAAAGATGTTTATAAATGTTCATAGAATACTTAAAAAAACATGTTTACAAATTCTTCACAATTTATTTATACAAATAAAAAAAACTATGTTGTGTGAAAATAAACAAAAATACCACACGATAGAAGTGAAAATATCAATAAGGCGAGATTGATAATGTAAAATGTAAATGATAAATAATAGTTCATTATAAAGACGATGAAATGCTGAAAATTTCCCTGGCTTCAGGTATGCATCCAATTTTTAGTTTCTGACTGAGGTATTTTAATCTATATCATCAATAAAAATGGTTATAACTTGGTTTTCGACATTATTTTTTCCTTTTCGCCACTCTAACACAGCGTCTTGTTAAGAAACAATTTTGAATACTAGCCCATTACAGAGAGGACGAAATGCTGAACAGTTACCTCGCTTACAGTATACAGTTTCGATTTTTAGCTTCTGAGATATTTTAATCCATGTCTTCAGTAATACTCATTTTCAATTGATTTTTCACACGATATTTTTTCCCTTTTGCCTCATTACAAAGAATTTTAATCCGTATGCAATAATACTTCAAATATTCGATTCCAGTCGAGTTTACCCGAGCGTTACAAATAGGAGTTCTGATGACTCAATCTAATCCACTCTCCACACAAAAAAGTTCAAAACGCGCCTAAACAAGTTTTCATTTCAAAAATTACAATTGTTTTCATGATTTATCTGCAATAAAACTTTTAGCTCATAATTTACATTTAAAACCGTATCCTTTCTCTATAATATTCTTTATTTATTTATTTTACATTTTGCTGAGATATGTTTTCCCTTTTCGCCTCTCTAACACGTCTTTGCGTTAAGATACAATGCAAGAACAATAGCTCATTGCAAAGAACATGAAATGATGAATATTTCTCTCGCTTAAAATATGCAGGTCCGATCTTTTCTTTCTGAGATATTTTAAACTAAATGCAAAAATTAGTCAATTCGAGATGATTTCAGTGTTACATAGCAGAGCTTGACGACTCAGTCTCATTCAATAGAAAATTAAGTGTGCTTAAGGAAGTTTTTACTCACATTATAAGGATGAAAAGGACTTTATGTGATTTTTTAATCCTTACCTAAGTATCACTTTATTTTATCTCTCTTTTCACGAAATAGATAATTTTTATCTAATAAATGTAATAAAACAATGTACGCTGATACTCACGCAATGAATTTTAATAATTATTTCTTAGAAATATAGAGGTAAAAGCTTACCCTCAACCTCTTCCCATATAGTTCGTTTTAAGATCTGAAAGCATAGGCTTTTTAGTAGCCAATCCGAGTAGCCGCCTGCCTCCAAAAATCTGAAGATGGCCATCAGCCGATACGCTCACCTTTAAAAAAAAAAATTAATTTTTAATTTCTCGGTAATTGTAATTGACCAAGGAATATAAAATTAATTTAAAACTTCAATCATTTGGAAAAATAGAGCGGTAGTCCACGAGCAGTGAAGAAAGAAAGGCCACTGGACATAAATGTAAAATATGCATGCAGCATGCAGAGCCCTTAAATTATATATATATATCTAGAATTTTATTTACATATTGTCTTTTGTGTAATAAATAAAATCTTAGGTGATGGAAAAAAAAATCATTTGGAAAAGAAAAACTGATAAACTGCAAGCCTTCCTAAATTTGCCCATGTTAACTGAATTTATAAACAGAAGGATAATAGAATTCCATGATTCGTTAAAATATTTAACCGATAGTCAATTCAATACGATAACATTTCCGCCGGTTTCTTGGCGATGGCAAAATATAGATGTAAGGTAGATCAGAAAGACATTAAAATATATCTAAGATAGTCGGCAGGGAACATCTTACAGCATATATATAAATAAGGTGTATTCAAGAAATACGTAAGCACTTATACTTTGAAATTTTTATTCTACTTTAAACGACGTTTCGAGCTGATTAGATCATTCTCATTTCATCTACAAATAACAATTAACAAACATAATTTACAACAATGATCGTTCATTATAGTTCATTATACATATTCATTATTCATTATAGTTATTAATACTTGACAATCTTTGTTACTAAATGATACATGTATATATTGGAGTTCTGGCAATGGCCAGATTCTCCACTCAAGTCATGAGTGTCCGTGGTTTTAGCGCAATCACTCAATCCCCGCTGACTTTTAATACCAGTGAAATGGTTGAGGAAGAAGCGCAGGGATCTCCTGAAGCATTGCTTTCCCTCCACATGTGGGGGGATAAGTATGGTTCAGAGTTCTCATGGCCGACTGTAAATAGTATAAATAGGTAAATAATATATGCCAACAGAACATTTCCGCCGGTTTCTTGGCGATGGCAAAATATAGATGTAAGGTAGATCAGAAAGACATTAAAATATATCTAAGATAGTCGGCAGGGAACATCCTACAGCATTGTTTTATATATATAAGGTGTATTCAAGAAATACATAAGCCCTTATACTTTGAAATTTTTATTCTACTTCAAAAGACATTTCGAGCTGATTAGATCATTTTCAATTCATCTACAAATAACAATTAACAAACATAATTTACAACAATGATCTCTCATTATTTAGTCATGTAAAAAAAGTGAGAACTTACCAAAAAAAAAATTATCTACGAAAATATATTTATATATTATAATTTCATTGAACATTCATTTATTCAGTACACAAATTACAAAAAATAACAATATTTCTCCTCTTTTGCGCATTTAATGTTGCTTGTCATTCTACTATGAAACGTATGTGTATGCGATTATTTCAGAACATATACAATTTCTGTTGTTGATTTATACTTTGTTTTATTTAAAATGTAAGCTCATCACGAAAACTCGGTACTACCTCCTCCCTTGATTGTTTAACATTGGTTGCACATTTGATATCTTTAGGGATGCATGAACCTGTAGGAATTACACCCCATACAGAAAATATACAAAACAAATCATATATAAAACTGGGGTTATGAAAAAATAAATAAATAAAAAACATGATTTGATATAGTTCAAATAAAGGAGGACTAGCGACAAAAACAAATCATACTGAAGCATATCCAACGTTTCCAAAATAGTATATTAAAAAGAAATAACTCCATTAAATATATATTTTTATACTTGTAGGTTAGGACTTCACATTATTATAATTATAAAAACCTATTTTGATCACAACAGTAGTGCTTTATTTTTACTTTCACTTACGTAAATATGAAATATAGGGTAAGGGACAGTATTGCGTTCATGAAAATTTTATAATCTCGTTTTCAAATAAATCCTGCAAAATGGTCTGTTTGTGAGTGGATATGTGCGTGTGTCTGTATGTACGTGACATGTCTAGCTCAATAACGAAAATTCGTATGAAAGTGAAATTGCATATTTAAGTTTTGGATATACCTGAGATGTTACAACTTTTTCGTCAAAATCAGCTAACCGGAAGTGACACTTTATATCATCGATGAAACACATTTCTACTCGAAAACGGCTCCACAGATTTCGATTAAATTCATTATATCAGTGTAAAATTAAGCAGTTTTTAATATTATGAAGGTTTTATTCTAGTTGATATTCTCTAACAGGACTTAAATGGCTGATTTTCAATATTAGCTTCTTCTAAAGTACCTTTATTATTTTTTAATTGAAATAATTAACCATTTCACATTGATCTTTAATATAAAAAATAGTTAAATATAAAATATGAAAGAATTTGATAATTAACTTTTTTTTTTTTTTTTATCTATTTATTGAATAATAATACAATCAGCCACTGGAGGGCTATAAGTATTAGGGCTAAGAGTTCTCATTCAAACAATATATACAAATAATAGAGAAATAAATATAAATATAAAAAGTAAATAAATAATACTGATAAAGAAAGAAAATAAAAGAAAAAAAAAATAACAATAACATAAAAAGAAACTTATAAACACAATCATACCTAGATAATTAACTAAAGGAGAAATATGAGATCGTAACAGAGAGTAGTTGTAATGAAGGAACCGAAGGGATACGAGCGCGGTCGAGCTCACCCGAGCTTACCGAAAGATTAGAACAGGCTTCCATAGTAACATGAGCTTAATATAATACGGACTCCGACTGTATTATGTATAATATTACATATGCATATGCGGTTTTTCTAAATGTTTTTTTTTTAGTATTTTTAATATTTAATTGTTTAGTTTACAGCGATATAAGTATTAAAATTTGTATATATATGAGGGTACTTAAACAAATAAAAATATCCAAAATGAAATATAAGCGTTTATAATTTTTAATTTCACTTCCCCTTTGTCTAAAAATAATTATTTCTGATAAGAAGAGTAAAAGTAAGTGAGAATTTTGTGATGCGCGCAGATTTTTATTTTTTTTTTCACCGTCTTTCAGCCCTTAGGCTATTTTTAAGGGATGAAACCTGTTTTAAAGAAATATTTAAAACAATTGAACTGAATTGCCCTTATCATCCTAACTTAATCCTTCATGCATAATGGCAAAATATAGATGTGAGACAAATTTTAAGACCCACCAAGCTGATTAAAATTCAAGAAACAAAGATTAACAGAATTAAGGAAGGCTCAACAAGACCTTAAAACTTATCTAAGATACAGCGCAATTATCATCTTAAAACATATGTACGAAACAAACCATATATAAAACTGGGGTTATGAAAAAAAAAATCATGATTTGATAAGGTTCAAGTAAAGGAGGAACAAAAACAAAATAAACTCACACTGAAGTACAACCAACGTTTCTGAAATAGTATATAATACATATATATATATATATATATATATATATATATATATATATATATATATATATATATAAATTATATATATATTATATACATTATATATATAAATATATATATATATATTTTTTTTCTTTTGTCTATTTTCATGATTGTTTTTAACCACTGTCCTTTTTAAGATGATACATTGCTATCTAAATTATTTCAGTTTTTTATTTTGGCTTCATATCTTCAAAATAACCGGCATTTTTCCAAAACATATTTTTAGTTGAAAAGAAAATTAAATATGGCCGCCGAGAAAAAAAACTGTGAGCTTCAATTTTTTTTTTAACTGCAGTTTTGAACTCTCAAATAAATGCGGAATAACTGGTAAAAACATTATAAAAATCAAAAATGTCTGGTTGATTTCAAGTGGATTGATCCTATATTAAAAAAATACAACATCCAATATCTTTGAAGAAATAACAGGTAGATCAATACCATGACATATTCCAACTTCCAACGATTACACAACACGTAAGAAAAAGACATATCAAATTTATTTATTATGAGTGACTAAAAGTAATTTCGAAGTCACCATTCAATACCTTAATACCAGCAACAGCTTCAGCTCGTCGACAAATCAACACATTCTCTTCTCCAACTCTTAGAATGTAAGATAATGATAAGTTGGTCAGTAAGTTAGGTTATGACTTAGTTCAATTCAATCTTTATTTGTTTTAAGGAAAGATCCTTATAGAAATGGAGTATATCACAAAATAACAAACATTATTATCCTTGGGAATACAAATTCATTCCTTTTTATTATTTGCTACATTATAGATATTATAACACTCTTAAGGATCAAGTTTATGGATAGTGAAAGACTTAAAAAACACATTTGACAGGCTTTTTTTTTATTTTTTTTTTTATTTATTAATTTCCTTTTATCTATTATTATATTTTATTTTCGCTCTTTTTTTTTATTTTTTTTTTATTGTATTTATTTTTTTTTTATTTATTGATTCTACTGCTATTTTTTAAAGTTTATTTATTTATACATTTTTTATACATCTTATTACCTATACATGTATATTATTATCCTTAATTATTTATTTTATTCTATCAATCCATTTCTTTATTTATTTTATTTTATTTTATTTATTTATTTATTTTTTTTTTATTTTTTTTGTACCAATCATCCAAATAGTATTAAATGATGTTATTTAGTTGATCGGGCGCTTATGACCTGGATGTTTTGAGCCTAGACATCGAAACAAACAAACAAACTCTTAAGGATAAATTAAAAATCTTTTTCGTAAAATCAGACAGGAAAATAGTTCCAATCATCAAATTAATATAAAATCCAAAATTGTCTATAATATACACATAAAACAATAAATACACATTTTTTTAAAAAATATTAATATTAAACTATAATTTAAAATTAAATTAAAATATTACACCTACACCTAAGAGAACTATAAAAAAAAAAAAATGACCCGGCCAAATTACATGACGATGTGCAATATTTTTGCCATAATATGCTGAGGACAATATTCCAGATCACCCTAACAATCCTCCATAATTTGATATAATGGAGGTAAAAAAAATATAATTTTCACATATCTTCTGCAGTGTCTGGTTTAAATATTCCTATCCCATCAAGATTTTTCCATAGTCTGGTAAATTCTTAACCTTAAACTACTGTAAATTGGACATTAAAATAACATATGATGAACTGTTTCGTTTTCTTTAGTGTTGCACATTTTGCACTCAAGTTGTGGAGTAATTTCCACAATTTTAAACAAACCTTATCATATATTAAATCTTGATCATATATTTTCCTAAGAGGAGGATCTGTATTAATTGTTTCATATATTTGAAATTATTTGGTATCAACAAATACTCGGGAATCTGATCATTATTAAGAAAATGGTTTAAATGTTCCCTATAAGATGAGCTATGCAATATTATCCTGTAACCGTCCTGCAAATGTTGGATTATATTTATTTAATATCCTGATAATATCTGTTCTAATTATGGCTGAGTTGGTTTCATAAACTAGATTTTCTTCCCCAATAGTATCTAACAATACTTTCAGCTGAGAACACCAATTATATTTCGATAGAGCAGGATTAGCTAAGTAAAATTTATTTCTTAGCTTTTCGAAATATATTTTAGGATATCTAAATTCCTTCATTTCCATAACCTTAACCAAGCAATTCAATGAACACTTCATAATAACTTAGTTAGTACCTTATTTTTAACTTTAAAAATATATATATTGTAACGAACACTTGAAGAACTACTTAATTCCAATTAGAGACATCAAAATGTAACAAAATTACAGAAAAAGGTATAAATGCATCCATTCTAACAAATAACACTATTATAAAATTGGAGATATGAAAATAACTAACAAAAAACAACATGTTTAAAAATTACAATAACCTGTATATTTTCTAATAAATAAATTCGTTTTAAGTAATTTTTTGGAGGAGTGAAATATTAATCTCAACATTGTTTCTCCTTAAAAAAAAAAATTATAAATTATAAAAATAAAGAGCAATGACCACGATCAGGCGGGTGAAGTGGAAAGGGAAAAGAAGAACACGTACGATAAATGTATCCCTTTCTTAAAAGAGAAATTCCGTGAGACCTTCGGAGAGAGAGAGTTCACCGTGAGTGGACTCTGGTTTGGGTTCGCGGAACTATCCCAAAAAGAACAAGGAGCTTCCTCGAGGAACTAGGTGTCGACATTAAGGACGTAGCGAGGTTGGCTGAAAATATAGTCCACGACTCCCTGGGAATCATTCACCACCACCTGCATGGCTAGGCTGGGAGTTTTAATTTATGTATTCATTTATTTATTTAATGAAAAATTGAAAAAAAGAGAGATAAAGAGAAAGAAGTGAGGGAAAGGGAAATTAAATGTTAAAAAAAAAGCGTGAACAATGAAAGGAAGAGGAAAAAATGTATAATGTAAAATATATATATACTAGTAGGCCCCTGCGAAAAATTCGCACAGCATATTGTCATCAAATACCAGATTAATAAAAAAATAAAATAATGCAACCTATCAAAAGTTAAAGAAATCAAATGTTACTTTATCGATAAATATAATCGACAAAGAAAACAAAAATTAATTTAAATCTTCATTTTTGTTTGGAACCAACATGTTTACAAATTTCAGTAAGCTGTATCTTTGTTAAAACTTGTCCGATTTCGATGTTTTTTTTTTCCTTTTGTAGACAATTTAGTAATGTTTTATATAATCACGGTAATAACCGATGATATGGCTTGCCGATCAAAAACACCATCGAAAAATAATATAAACTCCTTCTCTCTCGGTCATAGAGACCTCAAGTCAACCAAATGAGACATGTATTCAATGACAGTACTACAATTAATGTAAGGTTGTGTGGGTGCGAACCCTATGCCTTGCGTTATCTCGAAAATAGTACGTTTCTGGGCTTAAAACGCAGGATGCTGTACGCATCAAAATCTTCTAGATCCAATTTGTCCCGTATCGATCTACAGACCTACCACTATTGAGGTATTGAAGCCTACCAAAATGTTTGTATCGAATTTATTTATTTTAAAAAGAAAAACAAAAGTGAATAATACGATTCGCTAACCCCCCGTGAAATTCTGAATCCAACGGTACCTCATTCATGGTATTTGAGCATGACAGGAGCTTATATTTGGTACAAAACCGATTTCGAGCCTTACTGCAATAATATATATATATATATATTTTACTAATATAAAATTACCACTTCAGTATATTTCTATATAAGCTCATTTATTGCCCTACGGATTAACGAGTATGCTGTGTATATAGCAACCCAATTGGGCAGCAATCTTTTATGTTTTATATGAAAATAAAGTGTTTCTCTCTCCTCTGCTCCGTCGGTCCTTACAAATTGGAACAAATTTTTTTTTTTCGATGTATCAAATTATTATTTTAATTCATTTTATATTTTAATAAAACCGATATAATATATATCTCGATATTTTTATCATTATCTTCAAGATTTCCGTTATCGCTCTTAGCAGATAATCTTTCTTAACCCCACCCTTCCCCTCTCTTTTTTCAGTTCCAGCAGAAAATAAAATTCTGCAGATTAAAGTTTTTTTCATCATCAATGTGTGGGTATAATACACATTTCAGACTAAAAAAAGTTATTGGTAAAATGACATGTTGATACATAAAACATTTACTAATCTATAATTATGTCGACATATTATATAATATATAACTTACAACAAATACGAAGAACATCAATAAACAGATGGATGTGAGGCGATTCATCTTTAGACTAAATAAAATATTCTTGTATAATATTTGCCTTCCTGTCATTCTATCGTTCAAGGTGAGCGGAAGGTTATCAAAGAGATATAATTATCTGAAGAAAAATAATAACATCATGTTTGTTTTCGGAAAATATTTTCTTGATTTACATTAATTGATTTGTTTTCGTCATCAGTTAAATAACATATATATGGTTCACTAGTTGATCCGTCCAAATAATTAGCAAAGTACAATAGTCAATGTACAAATGCCAACAAACTAGACCTCAACATCCCGCTAAAAACAAAAGAAGACATTAATGGTGCCATAGAAAAACTGACATCATCAATAACAGACAGTATAAATAATAACACCTTTATCAATAAGATTAACTTCCCACAAAATACTAACTTGCCACAGCATATTCGCATCTTATTACAGGAAAAACGCAGAGCAAAATCGAAGTGGCATAGGACTAGATACCCAACAGATAAATCGCATTACACACAACTGACTAACAAACTGAAATCAGAAATTAGAAAATACAAAATTCAAAATTTACTAAATTTTACTGAAAAACTTACAACCACTGACAAATCATTATGGATGACCACCAAAAAACTTCTTAAGTTTCAAGACTTTAATCACCCACTACTTACTGATTCCCAAACCTGGTCCAAATCCGACGAAGAAAAAGCCCAACTATTTGGTCAACATCTTTTCCAAACTTTTAATCCACATCCCGATATCCTTAATTCAACTCACATCAATTGTATTGAAGCAGAACTGGATATTCCTCTCCAAATGTCTATGCCACCCAAAGCATTTCATTCCATAGAAATATCCAACATCATTCAAAAATTACCTTCCCGTAAAGCTTCTGGACATGACCTAATTACATCCCAGATCCTAAAACTTCTTCCTCGAAAAGCCATCCTATTCCTTACTTATATATATAATGCTGTACTCCGTTCTACATATTTTCCTGATCTTTGGAAACGATCTATTGTTAAAATGATCCACAAACCCAAAAAACCACCAGAATACCCATCCTCTTACCGTCATATCTCTCTTTTACCCATCATGGGCAAAATCCTAGAAAAACTCATCTTAAAACGCCTGTACCCTATCCTAAATTCTAAACACATAATCCCAGATCACCAATTTGGTTTCCGCTCCTCCCATTCCACTATACAGCAATGTCATCGTGTGGTAGACGTAGTATCCTCTGCATTGGAGCGCGGAATGTACTGTACGGGAGTCTTTCTCGACGTTGAACAGGCGTTTGATAGAGTTTGGCACCCGGGACTGCTGTACAAACTCCGAAAATTCCTACCACCTACATACTTCCTCATTATCCGTTCCTACCTTACTGATAGATACTTTAAAGTAAATCACAATAACCCTATTCATCCCTTTTTTCCCTGTCTGCTGGTGTTCCTCAAGGTAGTATCCTAGGTCCTATCCTCTATACAGTTTATACAGCTGACATCCCTACCTGTCCCAACACTGTCATCACCACATATGCCGATGACACATTTATCCTATCAGTAAACAATGACCCAGCAATTGCATCCCAAATGCTTCAATCACACATCATAAATCTAGAAGAATGGTGTAAAAACTGGAGAATTAAAATAAACTCCAATAAATCCCACCAAATTACCTTCACCCTTCCTCGTAAACCAACGACTTCCTGTCCTACAGTTTCCTTTAACAATACTCCACTTATCCCTGTTGAGCAAATCCGATACCTAGGACTCCACCTGGACAAACGACTAACTTGGAATCCTCATACTAGACTGAAACGACAAGAAACCGCTCGACGTTTCCGATTACTTCAGCACTTACTAGACAAACGCTCTAAACTTCCCATTAATTACAAAAGCCTCATATACTTGACTATAATAAGACCTATTTGGACTTACGGAGTTGAGCTATGGGGCTCCACTAAACCATCGAATTCCTCTCGCATCCAATCCTTACAATCCAAAATCCTTCGTAAAATCCTCAATGCTCCTTACTTTGTCACTAATAAAATTATCCATAAAGATCTTAATGTTCCTTATGTTTCAGATCGGGCCCAATCCAGATACCTATCCTTCCATAATAAACTTCAGAATCATCCCAACCCTCTCGTTTCTAATCTTGCTTCCTCTTCAATTCCTGATAACCCTCCGAGGCGTCTGAAAAGAAGATGGCCCCGTGATCTCCTAATGTAGTCATATCATTAGAGTGCTACCATTGGGTAGTTACTCAGCAAGTGTATTCATGTCATTATATCAATTATGTCCAAATTTACTTGATGTATTTATGTAATACAGTTGTAAATGTCATAAAGAAATAAAAAAAAAATAAATAAAAAAAATAAAAAAAAACTTTGCAATTTCAATATATTTAAAATCAATTTTTATGTAGAACTTCTCTGTTAACAATGTTCTTTTTGAATCATTTGTTATTGTTGTACATAGCCTTGGCCATTGCCATTGGAAATATAAATTTCAAAATTTTAAATGAACGTGTTTTACTTGCTGCCACATTTAATTATCCATGCGAAATAACTATACCTCGCTATTCGGATGGAAGTATTGTGTCAGAAAATATTAAACTAATTGTTGCAATTAAAATTCGTTTATTTATCTTCCCTTAGAATTTCACTTTCATTCGTGATTTATTAACTAATGCTTGTGCAGTATTTAAGTTAATAAAGAGCATAGCTATAGAATTTATTTTTGAATTGAATTTATGAGGTAAAATTCCACTAACATTCAATGATACCATTTCTTCAAATAATAGTCCCGATTACTTCATTAAATGTAAAGTTTTCGATTTATCAATAACTAAAATAATGGAAATCGACTTTGCAAAAGAAAAAGTACTAAATGTTTAAAATGATATATCTCTGTTACAAATACTTTTTTTTTTTTTTTTTTTTTTTTTTTTTTTTTTTTTTTTTTTTTTTTTTTTTTTCCTGCGCCTAAGTAACGCCTGCTTCGTTAGCCATGCGTGCTCTTGCAGTCCAGTACAACTTTGCTCTCCGTGTATAATAGCTGTCCATTTCATTAAAGCAACATCTTATGTCCTGTAATGCAGGGCATGTATCCAGATGTTCTCCTGTCATTATGTCTAAGGAACATAGAGGGCATGTCGGGCTATCTTTTACACCGATGCGGTGGAGATGCTTCTGAAGGAAATCGTGGCCTGTCAGCATTCTAAAGCATGCCACGGCTTGCCCTCTAGGGAGGTCTCTAGGAATCCTGCCACTTTCTTCCAGCAATCCACTCCATTGTTTCCCTTCAATTATTTGTACATATTTCGCTTTCAGTGAACTTTGGAGGGTCTTCTTTATGATTCTTTTTGTTGAATCCATGGTCAGAGGAATATCGGGTTGGATCATTCCAGAACCTATTCTGGCCAGTTTATCAGCTTCATCATTTCCGTGGAGCCCGCAATGGCCTGGTATCCACTGGAAAGCGACTTCTGTCCCATTTTCCTTTAATTGGTTCAAATATTGATGGCATTTAGGAACATTTGGATTTATACTATATCCATTTTTTAGGGAAAAAATGGCTGCCTGTGAGTCAACAAAGAAAGCCACTTTCTTGTCTTTCCGTTCACTTAACATCTCAAGGCCTAAGAGAATGGCTTTCACTTCCCCTTCAAAGTTTGTGGCTACCTTTCCGACCGGGGCGGCAAGTTGAAACTCCTTTGAATAAACACCAGCTCCTGCATGTTTGCGTGCTTCCAGTGCAGAACCATCTGTATATACATGGAGCCATTCTGTCTCTGGAAATCGTTTTCCAATGGTTTCTAGGGTTATAGCCTTTTGTTCGTAAATTGGTGTTGTATCCTTAGAAACATTCTGAAGAAGATCACAGTGAACAACAAATTGGCTGGTGAATGGAACTTGTGTCAATGACGGGAGTGGCTCCCTTTCAGCTAATTCTAGTCCTTTTCTTTCTACCAAATCTTCCACTGCCTTAGTAAAAGTAATTTGAGTTTTAAGGCGTTCAGGTGCGGGTTCATAGGTACTCCAGTAGTTGTCCGTAAAAAACCGCATATAGGAAATTTGACCCGATCGTAATACTTTCCTTACTTAGTATATTTACGAAAATAATCAATTAAAAAATGTGTACAAATACTCTGATTTCGATATTTTTTTTTTTTTTTTTTTTTTTGTAGGGAATTCAGAAAGCTTTCAAATAAATACTTGTATTATCAATATAAAAAAAAGTTGTACTTTTTGAGTTATTGAGTAAAATACTGAGTTCATCATAAAAATTTATGCAGCTTGTTGTCGGAAAAGTAAACATAAATTATAAATTCATAATAGTGGTTAAATAGTTGACTGTCGTGACATAAATTATAAATGTTTCAATTGGCGCTACTGTCCAAAGCGAATCACGTTTTTTGGCCGCCATTTTGAAAGGAAAGGCCTGATGATAATGCAACGTATAAAAAAACACTGCTAAATATTATTGCGACATTTTATCAAAATCTCAAAGAAATCGGTAAAGAACTTTCGGAGATCAGCTGTTTTGAACAAACTGCCATTCATATTTTTGTTTACAAACTATTACATATATTAAATATTCCAGAACATGAAGGAAAGAAAAAGAAATAAATTAGAGTAACGCCTGCCAATGCATATCTTTACAATGCGTCAATTAAAATACGAACAAGCTCTGAGAAAAGATAATATTTTATATTTATCGGGTTCTCTTTAGCTAAAGAAATTATAATATATACAAGGCACTGTAAAGATAATACCATATCTTGAGCCACAATAAATGAATAAACAGCAGCGTGGTTTCGAATAAATTTAATACCCAGTATGCATAAAAAAATAATATAAAAAAATTCTGGTGTGTTCCGTCACACGACGTTCCTAAATATTTCATAAAAGTTTTTGTACCTTTAAATATGTCCATAAAGTAAAAAAAAATTGAATTAGATTTATTTTCCTGAAAATTTATCAAAGAAAAGATTTCAATACGATTTCTTCCTCGATAAACTAAATCAATGTAAACCGGCCTATGGTAGATCAGTGAAAAAATTTCAATATCCTCTAATTTTGCTAATCAAAAACTTTTTGCTATATCCTAATTTTACTCAGGGGACTCTGAAAAGTATAGATCCGTAAAAAACCGCATATAGGAAATTTATCCCGATCGTAATACTTTCCTTACTTAGTATAGTTACGAAAATAATCAATTAAAACATGTGTAGAAAATAGAATAAGCTGTATCATCGCTAATACTTGTTCGATCCCG